ACTGGTTTCCTTGCGTCGATGGTGGGTACCACCATCAACGCAAGGAAACCAGTGGATCATTGTCGCGACCGATAACCTCACAAAGCATGCCGAAACCAAAGCCCTTCCATCTGGTACTGCAGATGATGTCGACAAGTTCTTCGGTGAATTCATCGTCCTCAGGCATGGTTCCCCGAAATACTGATTACAGACCGAGGGTCATCGTTTTTGCCAAAGCTAACTCAAGAGATCCCCCGGATCAGCAACACCAGGTATCGTCGAAGGAAGGCATACCATCCGCAGACGAACGGGTTGACTTAACAGCTAAACAAGACTGCTGTTGACATGATCACCATGTACGTCGACGTGCAGCACAAGACGTAGGACGAAGTGCTACCCACCTTCACCTTTGCCTAAAACACGGCATTTCAAGTTACCACTTGCGTTACACCTTTCTAGTTGATACATGCTCGGAAAGTAAAGACCATGCTGGGTGCGATACTGTCCCACGTGCCAACTAACGACTTGAGCAACGACGCCCAGGTGGTTGCTCAACGGACCGAAGAAGTCGGCCAGCTGGCCCTACTCCAGATTCAAGACCAGCAGCGTGCCGACACTGCCGCTAGGTCCTTCGTCTTCGAGATGTTCACTTCCAGCCCATAGACAGGGCGCGGTTGTGGACAGCCATTCGTCGCCGCGGCCTCAGCGAAAATCTGTTGAAAAGATACTCCGGACCTTACAAGGTATTTCGTCGCCTCGGAAAGCTCATCTAAGAAGTGAAACGCGAAAAAATTAAGACATCATCATGACGCCTACCGCGACCCGAGGTGGTTTACGTCGTCCACCTCAAGCCGTTCTGCGCTCGGTACGATTGTGGACTTTTCGTGATCCAGAAAGCTTTTTTAGCTTTATTTGTTTTATTTTGAATCGGGGTGATGCGCTTTAAAATGGGAGATTGATGCCGCGTTCATGACCGAGAAGATGCGCTTCAGCGTTTATCTAGAAGACTCGTGTATACATTTAACCCGAGCGTAAAAGTCAAGGAGGCCGTAATGAGCTTGCTTAGTCAGTCTCGCCCTAGATCGTTGCCGAACATTCTAGGTCAAATATTTTGAGATAACCAGCATAGTAGCTAAAAAATCGAGCGCCAGATTTTCAATTCATTCACTGACTCTCTCTCGAAACAGCCTGTTGTCACGCCGACGCAGCGTGGTTTAATGCTGCCACCGTCGACACTTGCTGCTGCTTTCTCCGACGCGTGTTCTTTTTCCTTTCTGGCACAAGTTTTCCCCCTTTAGTTCATTTCGTTTTCTACTGCCTTAACGTCTGTCATTCGTCGCTATATTGGTGAGATACGACCTGAACCGAGTACTCAATTGCATTGACAGTGTTTCTAATTTCGATAAATGAGCCGACTTTTTTGTGGAGCAAAAAAAGGGTGTCGAGCTTTTAGTTTATTTAAACAAGCGGGTTTTCATTACCTTCGGAATTACACGATGTGCGTTTGTGAGATCTTTAATTGCTTCTCACCGTTTTTTTTTTCAGCTTGGGCACATCCAACTTTTCTTTAGGGCAGCATCACTTTTTTATCAGTGTACTTTGAGTTACTCCCAAACATGCCCCAAGTGGGAACTAAACTCGCACCCAACGCAACCCATAACTGGGTCGGTTTTATGAAACGGTTCTTTGCACGTGATACATACGTTTTAATTTCCATCTACAGACATGACACAGGTAGGTAAATTGGGGCTGGCAGTAGGAGCGGCAGCACCACTGGGAGTTAGGTTAGAAATTTAAACAAGGAACAATGCACCAAGCTATAAAAAAATGGACGTGTTTAGGGGAGGAAGATGCTGCTAAACTGACGATGGTGATGCCGTCTCGCAGACTGCTGTTATGGCTGCGATGGTTTGGTGACGTCGTTCTGTTATTTGCCGTTGAGCATTGGCGGTGATGGCGGTGGTTCACATGTGTCGTCAGTATCCAGGAACAGCGCAGCACTTCTACGGTCAACTGTAAGTGTAAAAGGACGTGTTTATGGGTAAAAGATGCTGCCGCTACTGGTTCCAAACTGGTTGTAATGATGGCGTCTCGCAGAGTGCAGTTATGGCAGCGATGGTGTGGTGACGTCGTTCTGTTTCTTGCCGTTGACCAATGGCGGTGATGGCGATAGTTCCAAGTGTCGTCTGTATCTCTGAACAGCACAGCACTTCGATGATCAACTGTAAAATTTGACGGACGTGTTTAAGGCACGATGATACTGCCGCTGCACCTGCTAAGCTGGTTGTGATTACTGTGACTCGTTGCGGTTGGCTGTCGCCGCTACGGTGGCGCGCTGTTCGACGTAGATGGGTGAGATATATTCACATTTATTTCTTCTGCTTCGGAATAATATCCGCTCGTGTATTATACTTCCTTATGTTTTTAGATGTGTGCGAGCGTTGCATTATAGGCTATGAAATACGTGAACTTAACTCCGCGGTAATATTCATAAAATATGTATTTATAAATACAAGGAACTTATAAGGAAGTATGGCAGAGCTTTACCGCAGGCTACCGGTTGTTTCGGCTCGAGGCGCGCGCTGAGGAGTATGCTTTGAAGTCACAGCGCGAGATGAATGTAGCAGTACCACTCCGTACGGCAGCCCACGTTATAGCTATGCTAAAACTGCCTATTCAGATCGCGGCGCAATGGTGGAATGCACAATTATAAAAAAACAGCACAACATAATGTAAAGTTTTATGATATAACATGGTATACATCGATCATTAGAAAGCAATTTCAAGGGTTAACTGTGCTTGGGAAGAAATCTTTTTTTCTTAAGCAAATAACGAACTGAGGCAATCTATAAAATATATTTAACGTGTTCGACACCACAATCTACGCTAACCGCGTGAAAACTGTAAGAGACTATAGACATATTATATTATACCATCACACACGTTAGTCATTTCTTGGTTCTCTTGTTTATTTATACGTCGAGAAAGTTTTCATAAATGTGTATTTGGCGCATCGGAACGCATTTCAATGCGTTCATCCAATTAAAGTGCAGCATTCAGAAGGAGCATTGAACGAGCGATGACCAGGCAGCCAATCGGGCGCCGCCCATGGTTAAGGTCAAGGGGAAAACAAAAACCATGTGGACGCATTTGGCAGGTAAACAAACGCACTGAAGTGCGCAAGAAGCAGACGAACTTCCGTGTCGTAGAACTGCTCGCTGTTACTTCGTTCTGTTTTCCTTTTTTCTTCTCTCAGTGCCATGACAAGCAAGACAACAAACTACCCGAGTGAAGAAAAATTTCACACACCACTGGTAGAAAACAGTACCGTTTTGATTTCAATAGAACCAAGTAGCAAAACGTATGAAGGTCGTGCCTAGTTGTTTATATTGCTCAGGCATTTTTTCTATACGTAGGAACGGACGTAGGTGCTTTTTCTGAGTATCGTGAGGAAATGTAGATTTTTTCAAGGGTGGCTGTAGAGATTTTCGCGAAAAACGCTTGATAAGACTAAACAGATCCCGTGAGCTCCTGCATATAAAGCAACGTTACCAGAAAACTCAGTTGAAAAACTCACCATTGAAACCTGGGCCGCTAACATCCACCGAGACCGAGCTAAATACGATAACGGCGCCACCCTTTAGCGACCAGTTGAAACGTGAAAGTTTCGTTTCCATATATGGCTTGTGCTAGAGTCACTGAATGTTCTAGAGTACCGAAACTCCCAGCTTCAAAGTGCCGAAATGGCGGCTCAATTTTTTTTTCTGTGGTCTTTTTAAGCGAAAATTTTTTTTCATTAGAAGGTTTAATTGATGTTTAGTACAAAAACAAGCGCGTGAAGTTATCTCAAGAAGAGTTTATTCACAAGGTTCCACGGCACAATTAATAATGTTTTTATACAACCTTGTCACATCGGTGATTTCAGGTAGCGCGTCCCGAACTAGGCGTATCCTAACCTCAAAAGTAATTCGCGGCGCCTCCGCTTGGGAAACGGGGAATGGCATCCCTGAAACGCCTTCCACCGTATATGTTTGGGCGCCAAAATGGCCGATTAAAGCCCAAATAGCGCAGTCACAGTGGACGCTATCGAATGCGATACTGCCGAACCAATACAAGCAGCCGTGCAGTTCCCCGAGTGGCCGCTGCGGGAGAAATGGCGGCGTTGCGATCGCCGTTAGCTCGGTTCTTGAGTACGGATTGGTGCCACTTTTTTAGAGCAGGCTCTATGGCAGTTTTTCAGCTGTGTTGTTTTAGTGACGTTGATATAAGGCCTCTCTACTCGTCCAACGCCATGTTGAGATTGTTTTAGCGGCAGCTGTGCTATCTGAACATGTCTGCCCACAATATTTGCTGTTACGATTTTTTCTGAATGTGTCACCCAGCGTTAGAAAACATTGAATGCTTTGTATTTGCTGGCAATCATTGTTGATGGGAGTGAACCAATCACCCACTCAATACCGGCTAGACTGGCCCTACGCGTTTGCAATGTTTTAGTCTCTTTCGAAGTCGCTCGTGGCTGCTGAGCCTTAAACTAGTTAGGTAAACACCAACTGTTTACTTAGTCAATACCACCCATCACGTGATCATGTTAGTCGATGAGGGAGTTAGTCATCGGTTAAATAGGCACCAGTCATGTTAGGTGAACACGGCTGACTGGCTCTGTACAACCAAGTATTGGTACATCACCGCGTCTTCTCTTGATAGGATGGGCTGAAAGTGTGCCATGTGATACCTTCCAAGCATAGCTAACATATCAGAAATGAATATTTATATACCCAAACCTGAATCAAAATCTTAATTTGCAGTTCCAAACAAAAATTATCTTTGAGTCTCGTTGACCTGACAATCGACGTTAGCATGCGTGCCTATTGTTCCGGTTTTTGAACTTGTGGCAAGGAGACTCTATAAAGCCCAATCCAAGAAAGCACATAAAAGGTCGCTTGATAGTTGAACTTAAGGGACACCTTTATACATTTGCAACTTAAAAATGTATAGTCAAATGTATCAAATAGAGTGCTTACACATTCTCGTTGTATTTCTTACGCAAGGCCTCTTCCGTGCAATTTGATAAACGGTGGGGTGTACCAGGTGCGGCCATTAATGTTTTCCTGTTTTCTGGGCAGTCATTAGTTGTATCCCACGGAGAGCCCAACCTGGAAAAAAATGTATTGAGCAAAATAAAAACTAATGAATGGCTAAACTACAGCCCACAGTATAAAAAACCCTGACATTATAGCTCTGGGAGGGCGGCGGACTAGGAAGAACATCCGCTTATAAGGGTTGCGAATATTTCTGAAGTTTCAATAGCGAACTGAATACCGCCCTATTGGATTCGCTCTCAGAATTGAATAGTGCTTTTTGTTTAATAGTCGTTTATTTTTCTCAATAATTTCTAACTAGCCGAAACTGTCTGACACCCCGTGATTTTCTTCACACACGACCGTCCACCTACTAGCACTCAAAACACGACTGCATCATTCTAGGCGTGTCCATCATCAGTGATACCGTGCCGTGTTGCTCCGTCTGCCTATGCCTACAATCTAAGAAAAAGTGAGCACCCCCCCTAGTCCTCATGCGTTTTGACGGCTGTAACTACCCCACTGGCTTAGTTAACTACCCACTCACTGGGCTCGAGCCATTGAACGTTTTGTCACCATTGAGTGACAAGCATGCGGTAGTCACGTTTTATAAACTCATGAATTGAACATTCAAGTGTATGCAGTCGTTCAATAGTAAAAGTCACTTCAAAAATCTCAAAAAGTACTTGAAACTTGTTTTCTTTGTGCGTTGGTTACCATTTATTCAAATTTGAACCGGTCGAAACAGACGTGTGGCTCAGTTCGCCTAAATTGGCAGAAAGCAAACATTGCCAAAGAGCACAGGCAACCCTCGTAGGCACCTACTAAAACCCGAGGCAGATAAAAAGTATCGCGGTTGTCCTTTTTGGTTCCATCGCGGGTTTTACCATGTGCTGCTAGTAAACAGCTGGCAGCTGGAGTCGTGCTCGAGGAATTTTACCAAATCTCTAGAAAAGCACAGGAACCTACACACAGGGGTGAGTTGACTGGAATGTTCGCCGGACGAGATACTCTTGTCGTCTTTTATTGTGCGGTTCAGTAAAGAGCGTGCTCTCATTAAAGCTGTGATCGGTCAGTTCTGCGTGCAGATCAGTTGCAAATGGCCTCCTCGGTTCCGCCGAACTTACACGCCTGTCATACCCAATTTGTTTTGCTTTCAAGTGCAGTGAAGTTTGAAGCATTGAACACCACGACTGAGGCGGGACAGGACGAACGAACGTAAATATCTGGGATAATGCTCGTATATTTCAGTATTTCTCAGTCTTGGGATATATGATTCGCCTTCACTGGCTCATTTGGCACATTTCCTCGAGCATACTCGATAAAAAATGCTTCAAACAAAAATGCTTCAAACAAGTGTGTGTCATCCAAGGTGGAGTACTTTGAAGGGAACAAGGATTTCAGGCCTTTCTGCACGCGTTCCTTTTACCTATATAAAAGATTCCAAGTAAATTTCCGAAAATAAGGCGATGGCAAACATACACGTGCTATTTAAATTAGATTCTTTTTTAGAAAAAGTACTGCTGGAGAAGCCAGCAGGTGCAGCGTAGAGAACTATGTTCTCGGCGTTTTTTGATGCTTGAGGCCGGTTCAGACACTTGCGTTTGAATGCGTTCGACAGCGTTGCGTCGAGAATCGAAAGCGACTCACCGGCATATCTGTACTTCGTATGAAGCGTGGAATACAATTCAAGGAATCGTCTTGGCGCGCGATATAAGCAGCAGGAATGTCTTGGTTTCTCGCTGCCGCAACGCATTCAAATGCAACTGTCTGAACCAGGCTTCAGATAATTTAGCATGTGTATTTCGCGTTTGCTGTAGGTGAAGGCACGGGCCCGAAAACGGCAATTCTGCACTGTCCTCTTGGCGCGAGCGCGATCGCATAGAACGCATATTTGAAAGACACGCGTTTGAGCAGAAACAATTGTAGCGAAAAGAAGAAAACTGAAACAACGCTTCGGGAAGGACCGGCGGACGGGCTTCGCTAGAATCACCTGCGCGCGCTCAGTGTACTCAACATTTACTCAACCGCCGCTGAAGTCATTCGGATATGTAAAAAGAGAAAAGAAAATGCATCAGCGTGTTCAGAAAGTAGTGATTGCAGAAATTGGTTTGGATAATTAATACAATTAATTAAACAGTCTTCTGTATACTTGAAGAGTAGGCAAGTGAGAAAACGAAACTGATCAAAACGCGGCGTGTAGCGACTATTCAATTTGATTTATAACCTGCAGTTCACTTTTGCAATGGATTACACTAGAGATACGCGCGCTTTCCTAAGGGCAGTAGAGGAAAATAATATACACGGATAAATCTTGGACAGTCTTTTCGTATTTATGCAAAATGTGACAGTGGTCACCATCCTAATCGGTAACAAAAAATACAGTAGTATATAAGCTGGTGGTGTCGACTAGTCGTGTGTATAGGAATGTAGAGTTTCAATATCTCATGTTGTACCTTGTGCTGTTTGTGAACGCGTTCATGTATAATATCATATGGTGTCTGTATGTCGCGTATGTGTGAAGTGTGGTGTGGAATATGTAGTACGTCCATGGTGGCGAGGCGCTTAGTGCAAAGACTGTTGGTTTTTTTTCTTAGTTTGAGCGCTGTCCGTTAGGTGGCGCGTGTCGCTGCCCAATTCAAGAAGTCGCGCGTTTATGTGTCTACTTATTAGAGTAAAAAACATGGAGGCGCTCCATGGCTCCACGGAGCAGCCACAAGGGGTTCGGTTCTCGGCCTCTCGTCTCGGTGGGATCAGTCCCATAGCCAGTTGAATGGGTGTTCCGTGCGGTGAATAGTGCGTGCACAGACGCGGTGGGAATTACAAGGGACTTGAAAGTGGATAACGAACGCTAACAGGTGAGCAGGAGCGTTGAACGATCGGAACCGACGCCGCTTGAATCGGTGATGCCTCGCCTCGCCGCTGTAAACCGAAAACGCCGGATCTCTTGCGGCAAGCACAGCAAGTAGAATCTCTGTTTATTAAAGACATCAGTTCATTTGCCGCTATATGTGTACGATTCCTTCTTTAAATGTTTTCTGGCCGCGAAGTAACTGCAGCCGGCTGCGCGAAAGCAGTCGCCGGACCAACCCCCTCGAATACCTACCCCCCCCCCCCCCCCCCCCTCCCCTCACATCGCCGCCGCTACTCGTAATAGGCGCGGTGACGGTGCTTCGAGGCGCGTTTTGGAGTGCTTTAGTGCGCGCGGAGGGCAGCCAACGGGCGTACGCACTTGAGAATTGCATTTTAGCAAAAAGCAGTCCAGCTCGCTAGGCCTTACTCGTATTGCTCCACTGTCGCTTGCCAGCCGCCATTTTGCCTCTGGGAGTGGTCACTGCGACTACCTGTTGATTGCGTGCCGTGTGACTACCCACGGAGTCGTTAGTACAACTAAGGGGGGGTAGCGATATCGTGCCTGAAACGGGTCTTTGACTTTCGTGTCTGGAGTTCTTTTCTGCTCATGCATCCAAAATGATTCTGATGTAGCAACAAATGACCTCACAAAAGCCGGAGTGTCATGCTATAGGATGTCGCGATCTCGGCGGTTCGGCTTCGAAGTTCTAGGAGAAAGTATGATGTAACGCAGCAGGGTTGAAAGTGAGGCAAGGTCTAAGCAGTTCATAATAAAATAGAAAGCGCACAAAAGACGAGCAAAACAAAAAGGGGACACGTACGACAGACAAGTGCAACGTAACGCGAGTGTGGCTGCCATCGTAACGCCACAACTCCGGCTGCCGAAGCTTCCTAAGGTTATCAAGCTGGAAAGCGTCCTGCAGCAGAACATGCGTTTGCCATATACAGCACCACTGCTGTTCCAATATAAGCATTGTGGGCGGTGACACAATGACACTATTGTGACGTCATCACGTGGAAATGGAGTGGTTACACTTTTTGGACGCGGTAAACACATCAGTCGAGGACGTGTTCCAGGCATCCTAAATACACTTTGTGTGAACTACGCCCTCCCTCACAAACCTGTTCTCCCATGCTTTCGAAATCTGTAACATCCTGACGTTTCTGTAGTCTAATAAATGACCCGCTGCTGGAGCGAACAACTTGAGAGTGGATGACAGGAGAGCGCACGATAGCAGTGCGCCAACGGGAGAGACCGCTACGCGAGACCCTTCGTCACGAAAGCTCTAACGGTGCCAGTGGGTGGGTTGTAGCATGGTAACAAAGTTTTTTTTTTATTTTTTTCATTGGGGACAGAAGCTACACGCACAACGAAATTGTAAAGATGGCCGAAGATGGCCGAATCTGATCATTGCCTCTAAGATTCACCTCGGTGCGCAATTGTGTCGAGGACAATTTTGTACATAATCCTTTTTGCCGGGGTCTGTATTTCCTCCTCTTTCCAGTGCCTTGGGTTAATAGATTGCGCTAATAATAGTCAAAATTAAGCTGTTTGTTTGCAGTAAGTGTTGATACACAACCCATGGGGTTGATTTGGGAAAATTACTGTTGGGCCATTTCATTTTTTGCTTGCAATCACCAGATATTCTCCCTAAATCATTTTGTAATGACAAAAACAAAACAGGAGTTCCTTTTTTAACGATATTATTATACCCATAGTTTCTAATCTACTAATCGATACCAGTTAATCGCTGCTCAGAAGCTCTCGGGAGCCGCCATCGACTGCGTCCTTCCCGCAACAGCTCGGGTTCGCGTTGCGCTGCTTTCTTATTTTAATTTTCACATGTTCTGTTTTTGCCACATAAAAGAAAAAAAACATACTTGCGGTGTTTGCTTGGGATTTCCGGAACCATACATTGAAAGCACAATGTTTACAATGGCGTGCACTCACTTAAGCTTCCGCGAACCTGTTAACCCAAAATATAAAAAAATTGTTACCATGCCGAGTTCTATTTCTGGCGCTCGTTCAAATCGGGGTTCTGCTTTTAGACTTAAATGGGTATTCTTTAAGCGTGCTGGCCAGAAACGCCGTAGAGACCTCTATGGCTCTGTATCCATTGCCACCACTGCGAAGCGAGGCGTTGGATGGGCATGCTGCTTGCTTCTCTCACAGTAGTTCGGCGTGCCGTATGTAAACAGACGCGACGTGCACCACACGTCACTTCCAAGATGCGACTGATTGGTTCAGCGGACGGGCGACTTCACGACAGGTCGCTAAAATTGGTCTGGAAAGGACTGCTCCAAACCGGTCGCTTTTCCAATTTTCTAAGGTGGCTTTTACGACAAAATATGTCTCGTGATACCTGCTGCTACTCGCAAATTTGAATGCGCCGTAAGGATGTAACGCAGATGGCCAATCTTCTCTAGCACCTAATATTTTCACGAGTTCCACACGGGTAGCATGTTTTTCGGTCATCTGACCGCTGTGTTTTATTTTTCCTTGGAGCATGGGGCAACGTAAAAAACGGACGTGTTTTTTTACCTTGTTTGACTACTATGCATCCTGCTTTCACTAACGTTTACAGCTGCATTGGGTATGCTTTTGTGGCCAGATATTTGTGGCTTACTTTCTCGTACGTCCAACCTCAAGCAAACAAGTTTCGAACTCAACTCCAGCGATAGTAGAACCAACTAATTCCTAGATGACAAGGCTGTATCGCTAGATTTTTATCTAGCCTAACAGAGGCCAGATTGGTGCTCAGAGTATATACTAGTGCTGCTCCAGAGTTCTTCTGGAACTCGCGTTTGCATTGCCTAAACACGAACCCTTGCCAAACGCAGAAGTAGAATTCGTGGCCACTCTGTCCTGCGCTGGACTTCGATAGGGGGCGTCAAAGTAAAAAACCACGACCCTCATCTGCGAGGTTTTGGTAAAACGCGGGCTGGATAAAATGTTCTTAGGTGAGATGTAAATGAGTAGGGACGATGCCAAAAAAGCCTGACCACCAAAAACTTGCTTTAATAACTTAGAACGTAAAATCGAGTCCTCCTCCGGAGCATACGTTCTCCAAGCCACTTGCTGTTTAGCACAGAATGTGATTATGGGCTGGATTTTATGCGAAAAGCATTACGGTCCAGTGGAACGATAAGCGTTTACATGCAGTTCAAAAAAACACAGAGCATACATGTCCCAGAGCAAGAAATTTATAAAGGATAAAAGAACCTACTTTATCACACTTATTCATTTGTTATGATGCTTTATTATACTTTGGGAGATTTATCAAGATTCACATGAGGGTTCAGACTCTTACGGTGCGACCGGCAGTCAGACATCTTGGTTCAAAGATATTGATAATGAGAATAATTGCATGTACGTTTATGCTGCCGGAAGTTAGTGTTAATGGACGTCTTGTGTCTAAGCTGTGGATGAGAAATATAGCCAGTGCAGTACAACTGTTAGCCTGGGGCCCTTAACGTACACCACGCAGTAATGATACACAACCACACGCCGGTACCTATACGTCTTTAGAAGAAGCTGAGGTGATCGGGAGTGTAAGTAGCTGGACTATGTATTACTCAAGGGATCATCCGGAAGTAGGATGCCGTCGGCGCCCGCAATGCACCTCTGAATGACGAAGCAATGCTCCCTCCTTATGTTACGACGTCAAGGGTCCTCAATAAATGCAATGTAGTCTTGATAACTCATGAACACAAGGAATGCATGAGTCTGTAGTGTGTTCAACGGATTCGAAGCCACTCAAAGCATTTTGTTACAACGCCAAACAATGTTGGCAATACACGGAGTAAAGTTGCCGTGATGCTATATGCCTGATCGCTCCCGAAAGCAGACGTCAGAGGACGCGAGCTCGATCCACTTCGATCTTGATTTAGAGTTAGTACTGAACACCTATATGGTTCATTCTGCATTGTTAACGAAGGCCAAAGTAGCTACAAAAGATTCTTTCCTCTGGCGATGACTCACCAACGCCGGAGATAAGGCATTGTCGCCGTCCTACCAGAGCGATGTCCTTCTGCACGTCAAGCTGATGTGTGACTCAGTGTTTGACGGATGGCTCCATTACAACATAACCCAATATGACAAATCATAGCGCACGCATAATGCATGCACGGCACATTCGGTGCTCTCCTGGCTTATCTGAATCACTAAGAAACTTAAAATTTTCTACGAGTTTTTGACCGGTACCTTTAGCGGCCAATTTTTCTCTTTTTACCTGTTTCTAAAGGCAGGCTAGCTGAACTTTTCGTCGTTTTTTTGTCACAATCAGTGTTCTGTTGAATTGGCACGAAGAGCGATTATATGACAGTGGAATATAATAGCAATAAAAATAAGGAACATAAATATTAGGTCAGAATATTTTCAACAAGTGGAATTACTTATTTATAGAAATCTATTTTAACATTGTATGGCAACTTTTTTAATAAAAATCAAAACGCTTACATGTGAGCTATTTGTTGTGCCAGATGAATTACTCCATCAAACCGATAGCCTGAGTCATAAGAAATTCCAACACCTAAAGAGCAGACCCCGTTGAAGTACGAATATCCTGAAAATAAATTGAAACGTTAAATTTTTACTTATTTTCTACCATGAGCGATGGGGTTACCGAGGATGGATGCCGCTAATATGCAGATTGAACAGCCTTCTATTCAAATCAAGACCACAACGTGTATAAAAGGAAACAAGCAGCTGCTATCTGCCATAAAGATGTAGAGTCGTTAAAAAAAGTTGACGTGGGATGCTTTTCACATGTTTCATGTTATTTGATACTGTAAATGTAATATTAAATCTGACTCCAAAGATATAAACTATGTACTGCCTCCCCATATATAAACTGTCAAACCTGGTGGTCAAGTGAGACTCACCAACTTATCCTAGTCTGAGCGCCAACCACTGCTTTGAAGATTGGCACGAATAAAACAGTGAGAGCAGTTATGTTATCCAAATTAAACCACGTATCCGTACAGGCAGGCTCCTTAACATAGCTGCTTTAACACTTCAGAAAAACAACCGAAGGTTCCACAAAACTCGAAGCTCGGTAAGGTTTGCGTCATCCTGTTTGGAACTTCTGGTCGTATTCGTGTTCAAAATGAGTGAGATTACAGCATTACCAGAACTATTTCAATGCACTTGAAGTCCTTATGAAGTAAGCAAAAATATTATGAAAAATATTTTACTTAATTACTCACAATGTAGGTGCATATCCCAGCCACTCGTCAACACAATCACGACAAAGATTTATTCAGCCATAAATCAAAATTTGGGCAGATATTTAGAAAGATATATAACCGACTAATTTTAACAAAAACAAAAGTGTTGAGTTGAAAGATATACACAGAATTTTATTACTTACTCTAGATACTTCTCCAGATAGTCCCTGTCCATATTTAGCCATTTATTATGACATGCTACAGTCTCTTAGTTTCTCTTCCCAAAAAGGGTTGGGTCGTCAGTCATTTCGTCACGAGTTCAACGCGGCTGTAATTCCTTACAGATGTTAGTTTGTGCCCCCCACTATCAAGGACTTATGTCCGTCGTTCTTGAGGTTTCATGCTGCTTCCTCCACACACACAGTGTTGGCGAGTATTACGATACAAATATATCACTATAGAATCTTAAATATTTCTCGTGAATCTCTATCTCTCTATTGAGTTAATTTTAAAAATTGTATATGTATTTTAACATTGAAATATCTTTGCGATGTATCGCTTGTATCGAAATACTTTGCACGCTTAGGTATCTCGTTAAATTTTGTTGTCAAAATGAACTGTCGGCTGTCTATTAAACACTGACACCCATCTTTTTGGTGCAAGAATTTGTAATGTGCCCCCTACGCATAATCCCCTCTACACGAAAAACAAAATCCTAGTTGTATGATATATCACAATCACCACAGTTAAAAATATGCAAAATATACACAAAGGAAGTTCTGAGAACTGTCATTTGATAGAAGATCCGAATAACCTCACTCCATAACCAGACTTTTCCATAAGGGTGCGTCTTTAATGGTGACAAACCCTCATGGCAAAGCGGCTCATTTCGGGCAAACACCTTTTGTCAAGCATTTCAAGCAGCCGTTGTTCTCCGGGGCCTATGGACCACTCGAGGCGACAACGATTTTTTTAAAGCAATTCGGGATGATCGCAGTGAATAAATTAATAGTCTGAGGCAAAATGATGCGAATAAACTGACGAGAGAGAAAAGTACAAGCACTGCAATTTGCATTCGACACGAACTGCATCCTCAGCATCTATATCCGTCCGGGGGAAAATAGATTTATGTATATATCTGTCTTTATTCCTTTCTAATGCATGATGGAGTGACTGAGACCCCTGACGACAGCCCTTTATGAGGAAGGAATTCAAACGCGTGTGCCACGTCATAATCTCTGCCTCAATATTTGTAATATGTGAGTGAAGGTGCAGCTAGGGTATGTATCTGCGTTTTGAGCATGATTAAATATTTTTCAGTACTTTCATTTTCCACTTAGTCAATACGAAGTTGAAATTCTTAAAATTCTTAAAAATCCTTCCTAAAAAAAAAAAACTTAACATTGAAGCTGGAGGACTAAATACAGTAACACAGCTTACCATTTTTGCTGATTTTCTGCACTTGTTCTAAGATGAAGTCATTAGAATTTTTACCAATATATTTGCTTAACCTATTTTGATATTGCGATTGAATCCAGCTCTTTTTACATATATTTATTTATTATATTTGAGCGGTATTTTGTTAAAATTATGAAATTCGTGTACAAATATTGGAGCCCCTGTTTAAGATTGCTGTAATTGTTCATGCAGTCAGCTGTGATCTTGTGGAAAATTTTGGTTTCGTGCATTTCTAAACTTTATGCGTTCTTACTTTTACTATAATAGTGTTCGTCCTGATCTGAATAATGTGTTGCCAGCTTCGGTAGTGCTATCAACAAACGCAATATTAGCAGAGGTCGTCACTCCACTAGTCATTTGTAAATGGCTTTTATTTTCTGCTGATAGTGGTCTTTTAAAAGGTTATATTTACCGGATAGCTTGGGTATCTTTTAAAACTTACAGCTATGCGACGCATCGTCTCAAAGGTATATATGAACAATCGTGAAGAAAACGCACCTCATTTCCAATGCGAATATCACTATACAATAGACCTAGTGAAAATCGGGCCCTTGTCTGATCAGCATCCGCGTTCCGACTTGTAAGTATGAATTTTGTGAAGTCAAAGCCAACATTCGAGACCAAAATTCTTCGCGATGTCTCTTCAGAACATGTTTTGCCTTCTTAAAAAAAAAAACTTAACATTGAAGCTGGAGGACTAAATACAGTAACACAGCTTACCATTTTTGCTGATTGCGTTTCCAACGTGGTCTTCGATCATGAGGCTATATTTTTTTTCAAAAAGGAACAATTAATAGACGTGATTTCAATTGTATCACGATTTCTCAGACACTATTTTTAATTAATATATACCTGGTTAACAAGAAAACAATGTTATCATTCTTAAATTCGTCCCTTGTTTGAACCCACTCCTGGAACAATCCCAGTGTAAATGTTGGGTCAAGAGTCGTTCTTTTGCCTTCTGTTTCCGTTTTCTCGAATAATATCTCTTCTGCTTCCTGAAATTCAATAATCAGTGCCCCATTTTAGTTTAGCCACCCATATAGACTGTTTAAATATTTTATAAAAGGTTTTGTTCATCTTAACAGGTATTTTCTTCTAGTTGTTTTCAATAAAATATTATGTAAAAAACGAGGATTTTTATGTGCCTTACGATCACTCAAGTTGAGGAAATGCTTGCATTCGTAGTACTTTCGTCATCGACCGATTTGAAAAAAATTAATTTTATCTTAGGGACTACTGTAAAGCAACACGTAAACCTGCAGTAATTGATTACAACTTTCATTAAAGTATTTAATTATTATGAGATCGTCATTAAATAGAATCATTATAATAATGAATAAATTTGTTAATTTATCAACGTACCTTCGACAAAAGAAAATGAAAGACGTGCAGAATTTTTCGCAATGCCGTATTAGAGCGCAGCTCTTGAGGAGGAGGCGGGGAGGGCACGGAGAGCATGCCTCCTCGTCCTCCATGCCCCACCCCCCGTTTTTTTTCTTCTGCTACCCTCCTCCTCCTCCTTTTGTTCTTTTCTCCTCCTGCCACTGAATTTGTTCATGGGTGACGTGACACGAAGTCGTGACGTCCTTTTCCCCAATAAATTTAGCGGGAAAACTAAAATGGTGCTGAGGTCACGTGACGTCCACCTCTCCGGCAAATTTAGCGGGGAACTTAACCCGCTAAACTTAGCGGGGAAGTTTTTTCGCTTGATTTATCGAAACAAATTTCCCGGAAAATTTATTGGGAAAATTATTCCGGTAACTTTAGCGGAAAAGTTTGTCCGCTAAAATTAGCGGAAAAATCTTCCCGCGAAATTTAGTGGGAAAAGTTTGCCGCTACATTCGGCGGGAAAATTTTCGCGCTAAATTTAGTGGTAAAATTTCCCCGCCAAATACAGCGAAAACATTTCTCGTTAAAGTTAGCAAAAAGATTTAGCGGAAAATTTAGCGAAACCACCTACGCTAAATTTAACCTGGAAATTTTTACATAATTCAATGCGCAGTTACGCTCGGTTGCATTATTCCCATTATGCAACGCGCGTGGCTGCGCCGCTGGCGACGGTGACGCCGAAGCCACTAAACCCGGAAACGAGCGCCTTAGAGCTGCTCTCTCCCATATTGTCTGCTAAAAAATGGACAAAGCAAAATAATTACGCATTTAAAAGAATAATATATATACCAACTGATTCCCGCTCACTAATAATAATAAACATACCTTTGTTTCGTACACACCAGTAAGAAATAATTGAATTTGCGGACATCGTGATTCCTTGAGATAAAGCTCCACCTGAAGAGGGCAAAAATTTATCTTTGAATTGTTTTCATATTTTTTATATGCAAAGTGTTTCACGCTTAATGAATGGAAGCTTGCAATCACTATGCCAAACTATGCTAGCACACTACGCCTACAACGCTCTTTAAAACTAATTTCAGCCGCAAATGATAAGGCAAGAGGAAAACAATAAGGACACAAGCGAATATTCCATAAGAAAATATAAATGTTTAATATCGATTATTTAACGTATCTTTCTACTACCAGCCAAACTACCTGTACACAAAAATGTTGCAATGTAACAGTTATTAATTTCAATCAGTAAAGTACGAATTTTCAAAGAATCTTAGAATTTAGTATGTATCTAGTCACTGCCGCGTAGAAAGAAAATGAAGCATCTACCGAGATGTTGTTCTTGTTCTTAGTCCAATACTGAACTGATCAGAATTGGTGATACAATTATTTTTACATAAGCCGAAACATTTACAAGGTAAAGCTCACCAAGACATAGCAGTGTGATTTCAGGTAAAATCAACCAAAGAGTGGCTGGTCGACATTTTTATATCTACTTAGTGTTTTCTTTTTATATACCGTCTAGTGTCTAGTACAAACGAATCCACACTTAGTTTTGACGAGAAAAAGGCTTGGGGATAGGAAAAGTCGTAAAAGATGAAGAGATGGACCGTTGCACTAACGCCCACAAATGGAAGGCGCACGTTTGTAAGTGAATAAATAAAAATATAAAATTGGGAGAAGTTTAATACTTTTTAGAGATATAGTATCCGTCGAGCTTGCTTTTAATATATAAAAGTGATATTCATTTACACTATATTAAATTTTTTTTTTAAATTTCCAGACATGCGTGATCGAACAACAAATGTCAACATCTGGAAGCGTGTATCTCATGAAATAATTTAATCATCATATACTTTCAGTCAATATTATACTTATTTCTGGCTATTATATAAAAAATATTAGATAGCTCAGTGATACGGTAGTCGTGATACATTTCGGGAAACATAAGGAAAATCAAACAACAAAAGAATTCCTATGCGAAAAAAAACAAATTACCACTTTCGATGTTTTTTTAAGTTGGGTACCTTGTCATACTCTATTTCTGCAATCATTTCTATTAAAACATGTTGCATTATTTGATTGAGAAAAAAGACAAAACTCCCCAATGTAGGGTCCTTTTATAAAGCCTACTCTTAACAGTGCCATAAATGAGAAGTGACTTTAAGTTCCAGTTTCATGAAACTAACACACATCTTGATTGTATTTTTATCTAAATAATGTCACTGAAAACTTGAGTAATCGGTCACACAGTAAAAAACAGGAGAAATTATATACAGCATTTTGCACACAGCGTATAAAGAGGTATCTTATTGGAGACTAGTGATCCGAGAAACATTGATGAAGAGTAAAGTCTTAATTTCCGGCATATTTTATATTTAAAATTAAAAAAAATGACTTTACTTCTACAAACCGAAGTTAGGATAGAATACCTAAACTCTGTACGTTGGCTATGTATTTTTGTATAGGAACAATTGCAGGTGAGGGTACCACCGTGCCTCACTGCAGATGCTATCAGTGGACGAATGGATCGTGGCAAGCCGAGATTTTTTATGCTGTGCGACAACAACGTTTTGTGATTCTCGTAGGGTGATCAGATGAAGATTATAAGCAATCGCCAACTAACAGTAGGTTAAATACCCCAGAAGGAAAGTGTGATAAATAAGATGTCCCTGCAATCAAAAGGAGCAGTCATCGGGGAATTGAATTTGGCATTTTATGCTAAGGCTTTCCTCGCTGTACCCATTTAAAAAAGTTTCTTCGAAACCAATCGGACTGTCCTTGCTACATATATGTCACAGGTCCTTGCTGTTGATGACTTGTGCAGCCGCCACGCGTGCCAAGACTGAATGCCAGGAAAGGCGCCCACCCTCTGCCAGTCTTCTTTTTTGTGTGTGTTTTTTGTCGACAATAGCTAACAACCTCATTTTCTTCAAGATACCCAAGATTCAGGCCTTTCAGTTTCTCGGACAGAGCGCTCAACATTGTCCTGGCCGTCTGAATTGCGCTTATTGGACGTTCTCTCAGTCGTTCAGCGGGGCCTGTTGCTTTACGAGTACGCCAGCTCCGTCGCGTCGTTTTCGCATGTCCAGATGCAAAAACAAGAAACACTGGTTAGTGGGCAGTTCTATATATATATATATATATATATATATATATATATATATATATATAAATATATATCCATCTCCTGGCGAAGGCGAGCCTCTCCTGACATCTGACGAAGCCGAGCCTCTCGGCGAAACAGTCGTACTACATGCAATGAACTCCTAGCACAGCAACTCTGCAAGTACGGATCTCTGACTTATTACATTTTCCCGGTCCATTGATCTCAAACTAATCTGCCTCACCTATATATATATATATATATATAGAAGAGAGATGGAGATTAAAGAGAGGAGAGAGGAGCATATAGTGTCATAGGACAATAAAGTAAATAAAGTGCGTGGCCGATGACTGCATAATCTTTTTTCCGATCACTAGTTCGTAATATGATACTTCTTTGTACGCAGCAGTTTCTCCTCACTTTTACAGTGTGAATGATTGCTATAGTTATCAATGGCCTCATCTGAATAAAATGTACAAAAGAGGTGTGTTAGTTTCATGAAAGTAGAACTCAGAGTCACCTCTCTTATAAGGCACGGCTTAGAGTAGACTTTGAAAAAGGATCCTATTTGGGGAGTAATGTCTTCTTTCTCAATCAAATAAGGGAACATGTTGTTAATAGAAAGTTGCCGAAATAAAATATAACAGCGTACCTAAATTAAGAAAAGAGGATTCTGTTTTCACCACCACCGAGTTGTGGTGGTGATAACAGAATCCACAGCGGCTCCCGAGAGCTTCCGAGAAGGGACTCGCCTGTAGCGGCCGTAGATACAGGGCTATAAAAGTCTCTGCGGCGGCTCTCATCAACGCTTTCAAAGAGAAACCATTTCTTCATAACAAAGAGAACCTCTATTTGAATAAGTGCCCAAAAAAAACAAACCTCTGCCTGTCAGCTAGCCCGTGGCTCTTTGCTTGACAGGTAGGTAGTGTACTAAGGTGGCTCGAGTGAGTGCACGCCAGTGAGCGATTGTACTTTTACTGTACGATTTTGAAGGACCCAGCCAAAAATCACAACAATATATCTCGTAACAAAAACGACGCACGTGACAAAAAAAAAGTAGAAAGGAGTGAAACACGAACCCGAGCTTTATTGGGAAGGACGAAATAATCGACGTTTCCCGAGAAGCTACTCGCCTGTACGACTCGCCGATCGTCCGCAGCGGAAACATAGGTGGTCGCTTGTCGCCTGTCACTAGTTGGTCGCACGATTGCTGCAAGTTACAAATGTGAACAAGCTTCTACTACACGTATATTGTGGGTGTAACGTACCATTACGTGCGGGGTCAGTGCTCAAAGGGAACCCGATGCCTGTACCACTATCACGGAATTCAGCAGATCTTCGCATTTTTTTTTATTTTTATGTGTGTTCAAGCCGAGTAGACCGGTAGGAGTGATAAGTCGACCTTTTTTAATGGTTATTATTCCTTGGATAACCTCTGCGGTGCCAGATTTTCATTTCAGGTATTTGGGGTCGCTGTGGTTCAGAGCGCTTTCCTCAGTGTCACCTGAGCTCTTCGCGTGCTTGGGTTTTTGCGACCAGTTCTCGTCAACGGTGTATCGGTTCACTACATTTAACACTGAAATTACCTTTGGACCGTTTATGTTTCATCGTTGGAGCTTGTTCAGCCCCTCGGGAGGCTGATCGCGGCATGCCTCCAGGTATAGCCGATGTCTATTTGTCTGCTCGGAAGGGAAAGGGAAACCGGATCTGAGCACTACATTTCTCACCAATTTAGAGCATTTTGGAAAAGGTTACAGGTAGCACTGTTCGATAAGTCTTTTGGGTCTTGACCACTGTCGAAGTGAACGAAGTGATGGCTGTGGACTTGCCGGCTTGTACGGCGTCGTCTCCTCCAAAATTGATTGTGGCTCCTTAACGTAGCTGCATGGTTACTGGAAACTTCTTGGAAAAAAAAATCTTGTTATGGCTAGCCCTTCTTCCTGTTGCGCTTGCAACAATGACAGTACTTCCTTTGGTGTCGACAATGGTGAAGCGTGTGGGTCACATGCTGATGCTTTTGTTTTCATTTCACGTTTCCTCATAACACTTTTCCCCCAAAACAAAATCAAGATGGGGCGCCCATTACAAAAAAATTTAAACAATTTCTACAGAATTACTAGACATAATTATTGCAAGAGAGCATAGATATCCCAGGGATAATGTATCCACTTTTTTAACTATTGTCTACAGATTATTGGCCGCTGCTTCCTACAGGTTTTGTGTAGACTTCAGTGTACAGATAGTGTGACGACTCTGCACAGCAAACATAGAGACATTCTAGCAACACTCCTGTCCCATTCCTAGCGCCAATAAGAGAGTTTCTAACGAATTGCTGTAGACAAGTGATAAACAGAGGTGCCCGTTTGACCTGGCACGTGACCGCACGTTTGCACGTGCCATTCGATTTGGCAAATTATGCGCTAGTCCTAAGTGGGCATCGTCTGATAGGTTCGTTATCTTAAAATTATTTAAGACGTCCCGAAACTCATAAACCTATTTATAACATGGAGGAAACACGTAGAACAATTGTGCTCGCGCAAGTGCATGCAAATGGACAGGAAAACAGACGCAAAAGATTGTTTTCAATTATCCTTGAAGTTTATTACCTTTTCTGTAGACAAGTACACACGTGCAAGCGATCCGTGACCTGTGAGGGGCACTCTAAGCTTTTATACAACTGAGGAGATTGCAAAGCAAAACAAGAATCGAGGTAATTCTAAAATATAAAGGTAGACTTTCGGGGAAATTATTCTCCCGGCTGCCGCGAGAATAGACACTGCATAATTATATAGATAATCTGGAAGAGTACGCGTAGAAGAACGGTCAATCGTTGCCA